GTCGTATTTCCTTTTGTCCTTCCTGAAATAATCTGGAGATCAGTTGTAATTCCAAGAGATCTCCAGGTTCCACATGGAGATTGGTAAATTTACCTTCTATTGTAGGTATTACTGAAGATTTCAGTTTCTCAGTGTATAATAGTCTTGCCGCCGTTGTCGTATACAAAAAATAAAGTTCCATGTGTTCTTTCTAATTGACCATCCATTAATCCCAGCAAAAAGGCCTCTGGTTTCTGTTGTATATTCATCTTTTAAAAAATTCGGAATAAGACAGCTGATTTATCTTCCGCTCTGTGCTTCCACAAGGCTCAAGTCGTGTTTGTGAGCCTCACGGAAGCGCAGAACGGAAGACAAGCTCCGTGGCTTCCAGTTTTCAACAAGGTCAAATCACAGCACGATCCAGAACCTTAAAAAGGTAAGTCACACAGAGTAGAGGGCCAACAGTTAAAACTTAATATCTATAAAATATAAAAATACATGTATTTCTTTGTAAAGAATTAAAAAACATATAGGGGCCCAATTACACCTCACATAAAAATTCCAAAATCATACACACAACCATGGGCCAATGGGCTTGACCTGACGCGTCTCGGCCCTTTTAGGCCGTCTTCAGAGGTCAAACACAAGGAGGAACAAATTGGCTTATAATTGTCACCCGAGTCCGTGGACCCCCCTCGCTGTCACTGGAGTCAGAGCTTCGAAGAAGCTCAGCCAAGTTGGTGGCACATCCTGAAGGGCAGCAGGGGCCTCAGCTGCGTGAGTGGGGAGTGTGGTTTCCGTCACCACGCCCTGCCCACACTCCTACTCGGTCGCTGACCTTCCCTCTCTCTGGCGTGGCTCCGCAGACCTCAGGCAATCCTTTTATCCCCCCCTCCCCACACTCATTCTCATCCCCTGGCTCCGCCTCTGCCCTCCCTAGCCCCGCTGTAGTGTATTCAATAGCTGTCATTGAATGCCTAAACATGTATGTAAATCACCTCATAGAAATGCAATGTTAAGCTTCGTCCTGGGCTAGGGTCCAAATACATCCAATCGCATGGCTAGCCCAGGAAGAACCAACCAATCGCATATCAGCAAGCTCCCTGAGCGGGAACGTCGATGATTGGTCCTTATGTAAACAATCTCATTGGTTGGTAATGTACAGTAAAGGCGTGGCTATATTAGCCGGGAGAGTTTAAAAAGGTTTAAAAAGGCTATCAGATGTTGATCCGTCTTGGAGTTGTGTTACAATCGTTGACTAAAGCTGATCTTTTGCTGAATCACTCTCCGACTACTTTGTTAAGTGAGCGACTTAACACCCGCCCCCATTCTTAATGGGAGATGCCGAGCCTCGGGAGAGGCCATGCTTCCCGGTGTCTCCTGCTGGGCAGGGCCATGTGCACCCCCTTCACCTCGCCCGGGCCGCCAAGCTCGGAGGTGGGGGTGGGCCCTTGTGCCGGGTGGTGTCTCCCTTCCCTCTTTCCGGTCACTGGAGCTAAGCCGGCACCAGTCAGGCCGTTGAAACACAGCCTTGCTGTAGGCTGTCAGGCCGCCAATGGACTCCTTCGCCGCTTCGTTCCCCAGCTTCTCCGGTCTCCAGGTGAGCGGGGGGTTGGCCCGTGGGAGGGGGGGCGTTGGGTGGTGTTGGGGCAGCAAGCGGCAGCAGAAAGGCCACGGGGAGCACTGGGCACTGTTGGGGCAGCTGGCGCCATGGGGGGGGCGGGAGACCTGCTGGCAGGACAATAATCAGGGCTATTTTGGGGCAGGAACACACAGGCTCCCGAGTTGGCCACGCCCAGCAGGAACTCATTAGCATAGTAGGCCACACCCAACAACAGAAACTCATTAGGATTGGCTACATTAGGGGTGTGTGGCCTAACATGCAAAGGAGTTCCTGCTACAAAAAAAGCCCTTGGTTTTGACCACAAACAAGGTAAACAGAATAAGAAGCAAAAGGTGGGTGTGGCTGGATGACCACACTTCTGGTAACATGGGGGTGCGGCCTAATATGCGAATGAGCTGTGCTGTCAGGGGTGTGGCCTAATAAGATAATATGTTTCTGCTGTTGGGTGTGGCCAGTTATGCTAATGAGTTCCTGCTGGGCTTTTTCTACAAAAAAAGTCCTGACAATAATAATACAATACAATTACACAGCCTGAATACAAAATGGACCAGAAAAGAATGGTCCCAAAGTGAAATTACTAGGCATAGGATGAAAGTATAAATGAGGCCTCCCAAGATCCAATCATATTCCAAATGATATTTCACTGATAATAATTTCTGGTCCAGAAAGTGCCTTTCAGTTATTGCTCAGTTCAAGCCAGAAGTGTCCTCAGCAGAATTTTCCCCTTTCAATTATTTACAAATAAATTCATGTATTTTTATATATTATATATATTAAGTTTTAATTGTTGGCCCTCTGCTCTGTTTGACTTACCTTTTTAAGGTGCTTGATCCCTTTTTCGTTCACAGTCAAATCACAGCAAGGACACTTGATGGTTGAGATACATGGAGTTCACGTTAAATTAATGAATATTACTATATCAGCAGTTTATAAGGGACGCTAAAAGATTGTTGAATTCTTGATACATAGAAATTGAGATATCTATTGCATTACATAAATTTAGTTGTTTATATAAATTGCAATTTTTGTCATTTTTTCACAGCGTGTATACTTAGTTTGACCACCTAAAGCAGGGGTGTCAAACTTGCGGCCCGGGGGCCGGATCAGGCCCCCGGAGGGCTTCTATCAGGCCCGCGGTGGAACTGGCCGTCTTCTGCTGTTTCTTCCAGTTCTGCTGCTGCTGCTGCATCATTGTAGGTTTGCAGCTTACGGATACACACCTGATGGAACGGCACACTCAAGATGGCAACAGCACAGGCATTTTGATGTGATAAATCAGAGCAAGAGGTGTCAGTTATCAGACACTGTTAAATAAACAAAATATTGCAAGAGGGCTGATGTTTTAAGCATGTTTTTATTTTAAGTTAAAAAAAACACCTTTGTGTTTGTGTCCTTTATAAAGTTTACATCTCTGCTACCTGGCATTACCTTTTATGACACACATGGCCCAGCCCAACAAGGTCTCATTTATGTCAGATCCGGCCCTCGTAAGAAATGAGTTCGACACCCCTGACCTAGAGGTTGACAACCCTACCGCGAGGCTTTATTGCCCATTCCCGATCCTGCTACAGCTCCTCCCCTCAAACACCGCCCCCCTCCTTGGATTAACCACTCACCTTCCAGGATTGGGTTGGCTTCCAGAACCTGCTGCTCGATCCAAGAGTGCTGCCCGCTGATTGCCGCCAGGAACTGCAGGATCAGTTTGGTGCTTTCTGTTTTCCCTGCACCTGATTCTCCGCTATAGCCGGGAAAAGAAGAAAGAGTGAAGGAATGTGCTGAGGGGTGAATCAATGGCCCTGAAACACAGTGAGCCACGTCCCCCTTCCAGTACATCCGCTCAGGGGTCATTTCCTGTGGGAGCGCACAGGAGCGGAACTCCGACAGTAAGAAACCCAGGGGGTGGGCAGATGCAACAAGCCCCACCGACTGCTTCCAGCAGCCCTCAGTCGGGCCACGAGGAGCAAGAAGCAGCCGGGTAAGTTGCAGTGCCCCCCTGGACCGCCTTCAGGTACAAGCTCTGCCTCCTCTGTGAGGGCAGATCTGCGTGTTTCCCCCCCCATAGCTAGCAATCCAAAAGAGTCCAGTGGCACCATGAAGACCAAGTTTTAGGTACAAGCTCTCCCTCCTCTGTGAGGGCAGATCTGCACGTCGTCCCCCCAATAGCTAGCAATCCAAAACAGTCCAGTGGAGCCTGAGGGGTGGGTGTTGCCTTCCGACACACTTCCGGTGATGTCAGGGGGTGTGGCATATGCAAATAAATTATGCTAATGAGCTCCTGCACATCTTTTTCCACGAAATGACCCCTGCGTCCGCTGTATTTATTTGGCGGGGGAAAGTGCCGTCAAGTCACAGCTGACTTATGGTGACCCCTACAGGGATTTCAAGGGAAGAGACGATCAGAGGTGGTTCACCATGGCCTGCTTCTGCACAGCAACCCGGGACTTCCTTGGTGGTCTCCCATCCAAGGACTAGCCAAGGCTGACCGTGCTTAGTTTCCAAAATCTGACGAGATTGGGCTAGCCTGGGTTATCCGGGTCAGGGCACATTTACCTTATAGTGTGTTTTTAAATTTTATCGTATTTATGTAAATGTCGTAACCCGCCCTGAGCCTGTTTACGAGATGGGCGGGATATAAATGCGAAGGATAAATAAATAAATAAATTTATTTTTTAAAAAACGTTTACTCCCGACAGGAATTCAGGGTGAATTACTTAGAGGGTCATGCCAAAATGCATCAAAAACAATGAACGGCAAGAAAACAATGAACGGACACGCAGATCTGCCCTCCCAGAGGAGGGAGAGCTTGTACCTGAAGTTTCGCCGTTTCGGAGGGTAGCCATCTTTTTTGTGAGTGTGTGTGCGCGTGCGCGCCTCAAAGTCATGGTTGACTTCTCGCAACCCCTAGTGGGGCTTGGACATGTCAAAGAGGTGGCTTGGTATTGCCTGCCTCTGCGTCCCGGCCCTGGTATTCCTTGGAGATCTTCTGTCCAACTACTTGCCAGGGTCGGCCCGGCTTAGCTTCCGAGATCGGGCTTGCCTGCGCTAACCAGGTCAGGGTGGAGGGTAGCCATACTGATACTGTGTCAGGTTCTGAAGCAAGTAAATCTCCACACACGTTTCCAAGGATGCGTTATGCTTTATTAGATTACAAAACTGGTACCATATCCACAGGATTATTGTTAGGAATGACCATGGGGCGGAAACATCCTTACATATAGTTGTTGTTGTTCAGTCGCACAGTCGAGTCCGACTCTTTGCGACCCCATGGACAAGATCTTGACAGACCCTCCTGTTTTCCACCGTCCTCTGAAGCTGGCTCAATTTCATGTTCGTTGCATCGATGACACTGTCTAACCATCTCATCCTTTGCCGTCCCCGTCTTCTTTGACCTTCAATCTTTCCCAGCATCAGGGTCTTCTCCAGGGAGTGCTCCCTTCTCATTGGGTGGCCAAAGTATTTGAGCTTCAGTTTCATTATCTGGCCTTCCAGGGAACAGTCAGGGTTGATTTCTTTTAGGATTGACTGATTTGTTCTTCTTGCAGTCCAAGGGACTCTCAAGAGTCTTCTCCAGCACCATAGTTCAAAAGAATCTATTCTTCAGCGCTCGGCCTTCCTTATAGTCCAACTCTCGCAGCCATACATGACTACTGGGAATACCATTGCTTTGACTATGCGGACTTTTGTTGGCAGGGTGATGTCTCTACTTTTTATCATGCTGTTTAGGTTACATATAGTAGGATGAGGCAAATGGCTAAGCAAATTAAATTCGAGTGCGCGCGGGGGAATTCTCCCGGCGGGGGATACATGATAATTGGGAGAGTCGCAGTGCCTCATGAGAGCCGAAAGATTCACACCAGGGGTGGAACGCAAACCCTCCCGCCTTCACAAGGCCAGACAGATGCCGTCTGGCAGAACTGGTTCCCACGGTCTCCCAAGCATTGTTTACAGCAAGCGGCAGAGCAATTTCTGGATCAGTTTGTCACTCGATGATAACCAGATCTTATCTAATTCGTTTCTACTTTCCTCAAACCCAACGTTTACATCTTTATCGTATTGTGATCTTAATTGATTAATTTCCCACCAAGAAAGCCTAATATTGTACTGATCTTTGATGTATTCCTAAATTTTAATGTTGTCTTATCTCTTGCATGCCAATGAAGATTGTCTGTCTGACCTGCGGCATGCAAAACCTGTCCTTATCCTGAAGTCCGGCACCTTCTTTGCTGGAAAAGGAGGCCAGAGGGGTTTGGTTCGCTCTCCAGATAATGTCCACTCACCTGATAATGCAACACTGGTCCTTGTTGTTCCGCTGCATGTTGAAGTAGCAGTTGTCTGCAATGGCAAAGATGTGGGGTGGCATCTCTCCAATCTTTTTGTTCGTGTAGAGGCGAATCTGCTCCGGCGAGTAGATTGGAAGGAGCTGGTAAGGGTTCACGGCCACCAGGATTGAGCCTGTGTAAGTCTAGAGAGAGAGAGATAATACAAAGGAGAAAACATAAGACTTGTCTTGCCAGCCACATCTTTACATTTGTCATGAGAAAACCAGCCATGAGTCCACCTGCCCCAACATTCTGTCCCCAGCACTTCCTGCGGTTCCTAGAGCTACCCAACGTTACTTCCTGGTTTGCCCTGGAAATGAGATTGCAGCACACATGACACCGATGTGAGGGCTACCTGTGGGGAGGTTCCCACTATAGCGGGAGGCCCTGGCAGCTATATGCTGTAGTTTGGTTCTTATCGAGACGGCCAGTCCCCCATGACCTGAGGAGACAACTGACTCTTCTCCAGTGAATGAGATAATTTAGTTTTGGAACTGGACAACAGCTCCAATGACAAAGTGGCTCCTGAGAAGGCACAAAGTTTTTTGTTGTGGTGCTGTGTTCCCGATGGACTTTACTAGTAGGGTTGTCAGACACACACACACCCCCGGCTGGAAAGGGGACTTACCAGTAGAAAGAAGGCCTATTCCATGTTGCCAGTGTTGCATAGGAAGTGACATCATCATGCCAGTGACTTCCGGGTGACACTCTGGTATTTGTACAAAAACTTCCTCTGACCACAGAGTTTTTCCCCAAATACCAGAGCGTCTCTCAGAAGTCGCTGAATGATGAAGTCACTTCCTGCACAATGTCGGCGATGTGTCCTAGGCCTGCTTCTTTCTGCTGGCAAATTCCTCCACATCCCTCACCGGTTGCCAGTCAAACATACAGCCAGGGCTATTTTGGGGCAGGAACGCACAGGAACGGAGTTCCGGCTGGCTCCCAAGTTGGCCACACCCAGCAGGAACTGATTAGCATAACAGGCCACACCCAACAGCAGAAACCCATTAGGATTGGCTACATTAGGGGTGTGTGGCCTAACATGCAAAGGAGTTCCTGCTACAAATAAAGCCCTGGGTTTTGACAACAAACAAGGTAAACAGAATAACAAGCAAAAGGTGGGTGTGGCTGGATGAGCACACTTCTGGTAGCATGGGGGTGCGGCCTAATGTGCTAATGAGCTGTGCTGTCAGGGGTGTGGCCCAATATGCTAATGAGTTCCTGCTGTTGGGTGCTGGGCTTTTTTTCTACAAAAAGAGCCCTGCATACAGCCAATGGGACAGAACCAGGGCTCTTATCTGGCCTGTGAGCAACAGGTGCTGTTCTCAACCCGTGAGGTCATGGAAGGACAAAAAGCGCCCCCGGGAGGTTTCGGAAACAGCCCTTCCGACAGGCCTTCCCTGCTTCTGTGAGAAATGCCCTCTGTCTGGATGTCTGCCAGCTCACCAGACATGACACAATTCCATAAACGATCTAATGTTCTCTCTCTCTCTCTGTCTCCTCACAAGGAAGCTAACCGTAAAAGGCTACTCCTTTCCCCCGCCAAAAAAAAGAAAAACTACCCCTCTGATTGTTTGTCCAAGCGGGAAGCCACAACACGGTACAATAATCATCAATGTCGTCGATTTCTATGCATGCAAGACTGGGCCATGCACAACAGCTTGGGGCGAGCGGGCGGACGACACTGTTTAATTAACACCAGCAATCCTCATCTCATAAAAAAAAATATAGGATCTAAAATTCCCGAGGCAAGTTTGGCACGATGGCTTAGACCACACTTATTTCCTTGTTCTAACAAAGCCGTGCAGGTTCTCAGCAGCAACCAAACCGATGGCGGAGCATTCGTTAACGTACAGGCAGACAAATGCTCATGACACTTAGCATAAATGAAACGAAGGCGGCGACAGGATGATGGTGCATTTCTGGCGAAGGCTGGAATAACTCGGCCGCTTGAGGGATATACTTACCCTCCCTCCACAGTTTGTCTGAAGGGTCAAAACACAGACAGAAGGGGCGGAAGTTAAAAAAAAACGTTCTCTGTTAAAATAGATCACAAACAGGGGTCATTTCCTGCGGGAGCGCACAGGAGCAGAGCTCCGGCAGTAAAGAGCCCAGGGGGTGGGCACATGCAACAAGCCCCACCCCCTACTCCCAGAAGCCCTCAGTCAGAGCAAGAAGCAGCCAGGTAAGTTGCAGGGGCCTCCCGGTCCAAAACAGTCCAGTGGCACCTTTAAGACCAAGTTTTATTCAGGTACAAGCTCTCCCTCCTCTGCGAGGACAGACTTCACATTCCCCCCACCCCCCAATAGCTAGCAATCCAAAACAGTCCAGTGGAGCCTGAGCGGTGGGTGTTGCCTTCTGACACACTTCCGGTGATGTCAGGGGGTGTGGCATATGCAAATGAGTTATGCTAATGAGTTATGCTAATGAGCCCCTGCACCTCTTTTCCTACGAAATGACCCCTGATCACATATCTTTGTCCAAGGGGAAGATGTGCTCCCCTGTTCCTTCCCCACCAGAACCCAGGTCGACAAGGAGAGAAAGAGGGGGAAAGTGCTGGGGCACTGGGACCTATAGACGGGCATTGAGAGAATACGGAGAAACAAGGGCAGAGCCAACTCAGGCCCGTAGCCAGGATTTTTAGAAGTGGGGGGCTTTTAAATAAGTCGGGGAGGCCCCTGCACACACCCCGAAACGAGCACCACAAATAAAAAATTGGAAGTCGGGGGGTCTGGGCTGGATGAGAAGTTTGGGAGGGCTTGGCAGTCAGTTGGGGGGGCGGGCCCCAAGACGCCCCGCTGTAGCTACGGGCCTGAGCCAACTCCAGGCTGGGAAATTCCTGGTGATTTGGGAGTGGAACCTGGAGAAGGGAGGGACCACAGCAGGATATAATTCCACAGAGTCCAGCCTCCAAAGAAGCCATTCCCCCCCCCCCCCCCCAGGGGCAAAAAAACCCCGGTGAGACTGATCTCTGTGGCCTGAAAATCGGTTCCAATTCTGGGAGCTCTCCAGGCCTACCTGGAGGTTGGCAACCACAACATACAAAGGTCATTAACTACACAATTCCCAGCTGATCATCTATTCCTGCCCCTGAGTATTCAAGAAAGAAAGATCCCACCCTGACCTGGATATGAGGTACGGTGTTTGCTGTTATTGTTTATTGTTCCCAGCTGATCGTCTATTCCTGCCCCTGAGTATTCAAAAAAGAAAGAAGAGTCCCGCCCTGACCTGGATATGAGGTACGAGGTTTGCTGTTATTGCTTAATGTGCCATCCAGGGAGGAACACGGGGATCCGCCGCTCGGCTTTTCAAAGCAGTCGGTGTTTTTCGGCAAGCACAAGGGGAATGGATCACGGGGGACCTTGGGAGCAGACTGGGTGTAGCGACAGGATCGAGCACCAGCTGCCAAGGGGACAGACTGGGAAGGATGGACTACAGCTACGGCTGTCAACCTCCAGGTGGCGGCCTGGAGACCTCCTGCTATTACAGTAGAGCTCCAGGCCATAGAGGCCAGTTCCTGCTGGTTTCGAGGGTGGGCCCTCTGGCGTTATACTCTGCTGAGGTCCCTCCCCTCCCTGAGCCCTGCCCTTCACAGGGTCCACCCCCCAAAATCTCCAGGTCGTTCCCACTCCAGAGCTGGTAACCCTGACTACAGCCCCAGATCTCCTGGAACCTCCTGGAATTGCAACTGATCTCCTGGAATGACAGCTGATCTCCAGGTTACAGAGACCCAGCTCCCCCCTGGAGCGAATGGCATTGTACCCTGCTGAGGTCCTGCCCACTCTCCAAACCCCGCCTCCCCCAGGCTCCGCCCCCCAAATCTCCAGGAATATGCCAACTCATAAGAACCTAAGAGAAGCCAATGTTGGATCGGGCCAATGGCCCATCCAGCCCAACACTCTGTGTCACACAGTGGCCAGAAATACCAGGTGCCATCAGGAGGTCCACCAGTGGGGCCAGGACACTAGAAGCCCTCCCACTGTTGCCCCCCACCCCCAAGCACCAAGAATACAGAGCATCCCTTGCCCCAGACCGAGAATTCCTATCTATACCCAGAGGTCGATTTGGGGGGAAACACGGGGGATCGCAGTTCCCCCGGGTGAGGTGCGGGGGGGGGGACACGACGAAGCCCCACCCCCTGCTTCCGGCCGCCCCGCTTCCGGCCCTCATTCAGCCAGGAGGAGGCAGGAGAAGAGGGAGGGTAAGTTGCTTCCTCCCCGCCTCTCCCCACCCCTGCCTGCCTGGGGCCAGGGAGGGCCTTGGCGGGGCTTCCTCGCACTCCCGCCAGCCTTGCAGGTCCACTGCCGGGCCTTATGATGTCAGGGGGTGTGGCATATGCTAATGAGTTCCCCTAGCTGTTTTTCTACGAAACGACCCCTGTATACCTTGTGGCTAAGAGCCCATGATGGACCTCTGCTCCATATAAGAACATAAGAGAAGCCAATGTTGGATCAGGCCAAAGGCCCATCCAGTCCAACACTCTGTGTGTCACACAGTGGCCAAAAAGACCAGGTGCCATCAGGAGGTCCACCAGTGGGGCCAGGACACTAGGAGACTTCCCACTGTTGCCCCACCCCCCAAGCACCAAGAAGACAGAGCATCCCTTGCCCCAGAGTCCCTATCTATACCTTGCGGTTAATAGCCACTGACGGACCTCTGCTCCATATTAAGAACATAAGAGACGCCAATGTTGGATCAGACCAATGGCCCATCCAGCCCAACACTCTGTGTCACACAGTGGCCAGAAATACCAGGTGCCATCAGGAGGTCCATCCAAGCTAAAGAGCCCCAACCGCTTTAACCTTTCTTCATAAGGGAAAGTGTTCCAACCCTTTGATCATTCTAGCGGCCCTTTTCTGCACTTTTCCCAAAACTATAATATCCTTTTTGAGGTGTGGTGACCAGAACTGTACACAGCACTCCAAATGAGGTTGCACCATCGATTTATACAGGGGCATTATGATACTGGCTGATTTGTTTTCAGTTCCCTTTCTAATAATCCCCAGCATAGCATTGGCCTTTTTTTATTGCAGCTGCACACTGTCTAGACATTCTCACTGAGTTATCTACTACGACTCCAAGGTCTCTCTCTTGGTCAGTCTCTGCCAGTTTGGACCCCAGCAATGTGTATTTATATTTAGGATTTTTGGCCCCAATGTGCATCACTTTGCAGTCAAAGTTGGCAACCCTACTCTGGAAGCAGAGTTAGCAGAAACTCTTTTCCCAAGAGGTGGCAAGTCAAACCATTTCTGAGAAGTTATGCGTATGCACAGGGCAATCTCTGACTTCAATTCTGGTTACCAGATTCTGTATCTGCGGAACCTATCTTTCAGCTAGGCTCCTGCAGAGTGCAGGGGGTTGGACTAGATGACCTGCAAGGTCCCTTCCAACTATAACATTCTATGATTCTATTAAGCTCTGTTTTCCATTTTTAAAAAACTAACCTCCCCCCCTCCCCAGTTTCTAGCCTTAATACTACCTAGGTAAAGGTAAAGGTAAAGGTTCCCTTGCTTGAAAGCCAGTCGAGTCCGACTCTAGGGTTGCGGTGCTCATCTCCGTTTCAAAGCCGAAGAGCCAGCGCTGTCCGGATACGTTTCCGTGGTCATGTGGCCGGCATGACTAAACACCAAGGCGCACGGAACGCTGTTACCTTCCCACCGAAGTGGTACCTACTTATCTACTTGCAATTTCTCGCTTTCGAACTGCTAGGTTGGCAGGATACCAACCTAGATACATTTAAGTAAATGATGGCTGGAGAAACCCCAGAGGGGGTGGGGGGGGTCAAGATTTCCAGCTGCCAAGGGGACAACCCTTGGAGGAAATGCTTTCGGCTTATCCTCAGAGGAGACGGATGCCAATCTTGGACAGAAGAGATACCGCAGGTTGTTCACCCTTTCCGCCGAGGTCAGATAAGAAGCAATTTAAGAGCAATTCCCAGGAGTTTAAAGATTAAAACGTCAAGAAGGATCAGAATAAGTGTCACAATCTTTTCTCCCCTGGTCGCACTTCTGTGTGGCTTTCAACAGTGATCTCGTTCATTGCGTTCTGCTCTGACATGCAGAGCAGGGTTGCCAGATCTGGGTGGGGAAATACCTGTGTTCCCTCTAAGCTGTGGAGTCTCGTGAGCAAAAATTCTACTTTGTGAGCTACCGGGATTAAAGTTGTGAGCAAGCAATTTGGCTACTGCATAAATTAGTGTGCTCTGGAGCCATCCCTTCCTGAGCTAAGGTAAAAGTGTGTGGGCCGGAGGCTAAAAAACTGTGATCTAGCTCACACTGACTCAGCTTAGAGGGAACACTGGTGGAGACTGGGGGGAGGGCGGGGTTGGGGACCTGACCCTCCCCCCACCAACAACCCTCCCGCTCGTTGACAGG